CTGCACTTGATGGGGCACTGCTGTGGATTGGGGTACTTTCCTGTAGGATTTCATCAAACATGTCAGAAAGTGAGGGAGTGTGCTCCTTGTCACTTGTACGAGACCGTTTCCCCGGCACCTCTGTGCTGCATGTTGGGTCTGCTTCACCAGATGTTTTCATGACCTCCAACTGTGCCTGTATCGTTTCCATTGCACGCTGCTTTTTCTCCACGTCAAAATAGTGATCTTTAAATCTGGGATGCAGTACAGAGCACTCAGTCTTCAAATCGTGTGTTAACAGCCTGCAATAAGGTTTTTTTAGCTGTTTTTACACCATCATCAGTTTGCGCCTCTCTTGCTAGCAGACGCTTCAGTGCTGCAATCAAAGGAATAACTTCAGCAACAGATGCATTACTTGAACTTATTTCCTTGGTTAACTGTTCAAATGGAGCAAGAAGAGAAACAATATTTTCCATTAGCATCCACTGATGTGAACTCAATGTTACTTGAAGTTCGTGATCGGACATGTATGCAGCTAAGACTCTCTTTTGTTCAATTAGACTTTCCAAAATGTAGTATGTGCTGTTCCAGCGAGTGGCTACATCTTGCTGCAGTCGTGTGGGTGGCATTCCAAACTGTAGTTGCACAGCTTATAAACCTGGAATAAGCAAGTATTGAATGCTTAAAGTGACCTACAATTTTCCTCCCTGTTGCTGTTATTTCTGATATGCTGCGCTGACTCAGCACTCCCTCATTCACAGCTAATTGCATCGTGTGTGCCATGCATGATATACTCTGGAGTCCACTATTCTCCATTGCTTTTACCATGTTCCGTGCATTATCTCGAACAATCAGATGAACTTTAGACTTTTCAATGTGCCAAGTTTCAAGCATGGTATCTAATGTTTCTGATATTGCTGCTGCAGTGTGTGACCCAACAAACTTTTGTGCGTGAAGCAAGATATTTTTCAGATTAAAATCGTTGTCTATCCACTGCGCTGTTAAACTAAGCAGGCTAGTTGGGCTCACGTCTGCGCTCCAAATGTCTGTGGTAAAACTTATGGCTGGAATGTCTGTGGACATCAGCTCATGAATGTGTTTTGCAACACGGTCAAACATTTTCGGTAGACAGGTTTCAGCAAGATAGCGTCTGCTTGGCAGTGTGTAATGTGGCTCAATATGTTCAATAAGCCTGCGAAATCCAATGTCCTCCACAACAGAAAATGGCTGAGCATCTAAGGCAATACATTTCATAAGTTTTTCTGTAATGTCTTGTGCTTTGGCACTATCATTGGCAAATTTCTTAACTCTCTCAAATGCTGTGGCAATAGATGGTGTTGTGCTAGTTGGGGTTTTAAGTTTGTTGCTTGGCTGTATTCTGCATGCTGATTTGGATGACATGTTTTCAGATGATATATCCGTGCAGTCAGTGCGGGCTCCAGGTGGCCAGTGCAGGCTCCAGGCTGTCAGAATGGGCTCTCAGGTGGACAGTGCGGGCTCCAGGTGGTCCGTGCGGCTCCAGAAGGTCAGTGCGGGTTCCGGGCAGTCAGTGCGGGCTCCAGGTGGTCAGTGCGGCTCCAGAAGGTCAGTGCGGGCACCAGGCAGTATGTATGGGCTCCGGGCGGTCAGTGCAGGCTCCAGGTGGATAGTGAGGTCTCCAGGTGGTCAGTGCGGCTCCAGAAGGTCAGTGCGGGTTCCGGGCAGTCAGTGCGGGCTCCAGGTGGCCAGTGCAGGCTCCAGGCTGTCAGAATGGGCTCCAGGCAGTATGTATGGGCTCCAAGCGGTCAGTGCGGGCTCCAGGTGGTCAGTATGTGCTCTAGGTGATCAGTATGGGCTTTGAGTTGGTCAGTATGGGCTCTCTGGCGGTCAGTGTGGGCTCTAGGAGGTCAGTATGGGCTCTCAGGTGGTCAGTGAGACTGGCGGCCGCAGCAGATGTGACTCTCTGCTCAGGCATATCAGAGGGCCCTCTGATATGCCTGAATAGAGGGCCGCGGCTGCCGTGT